ATACACACTAATAAAATGATTTACCCTTCTCTCTCTGCTCTCCTCACAGGAGAAAATCGTTCAAGTCCCGGCTATTTGTGTGTGATCAGTAAATATTTAGTGTGGCGACATCTTCAGCTCCTCTCCTGATCAATACGCAACCCAACAGGAGGTGGACTATTGTCCGGGCAGTGACTGACTGAGATCTCCTTCAGATGCATTCCTTGCCCCCATACCGTCTGTTATGATTTATCCTCGAAGGTAACGAGCAAAGAGAGAAAGTGAGGCTGTAAAAGCTTCTGTCTCTAACCTGTTTACCGTGGCGTTAAGCCACCTAAGCGAAGAATGCCTTATTCATCCCCATCTCCCATCTCTACATGATGGTCTGGCACTTCCAAAACGCTGCTAGAAAATGAATGGGAAGGCAAGCAGCCGTCGCACGGGCGCTTCTCATCCCTGCATCCCTCTGTCCTCTCTTCCCCGGCCCCTGGAGTGACAGCGGTGTCACATCAGGGCGAGACCCGCTCCCACCCCTCAGCATCCCGCGGGGGTCCCGCAGGGTGAGGGATGCGAGGTGACCCCCCCCGCCCCTCCCCGCTCTCCCTCCCGCAACTCTGCAGCCCCGGGTTCAGCCGAGGCAGGGCTGGGGGCTGAGGGCTTTTTGTTTGTTTGTTTCTCCGGTTGGTTGGGGGGGGGGGGGGGGGGGGCGGTTTGTAACGACTTGGAAAATCTGCAGCGAAGGAAAAAAAAAATGGAAATGGAGAGGAGCTTAAAGCTCAGTTCCTGCGGTTAGCCATACGCGAGAGCTTTCCCAGGGTGATAAAATGGACAGAACGAGAAGTTCGCGCGAGCGCGCGCGTGTGTGTGCTTTGCCCTCATCTGTTATTTCACTCCTGGGAAAGCCCGTGCCTCGGATAGGAAATCTTTCCCCTCGCAGTCACCCCGCTCCGCCGCGCAGTGCCCGCGGATGCCCGCGCAGCGCAGCGCAGCGCAGCCCCGGCAGCGCGATGCCCGCCTTTGGCGCATCCCGATCCCGCACCCTGCACCGCAGCCCCCGCCAGCGCCCAGCTGTTTGCTTTATTTCATGTGCATTTACACAGCAACCCCGGGTCGGAGGCATTTCTCTGTGTAAACGCACGCTGCGTGCATGCACGCTCCATAAATACATGGCTGTGTGTTGGAGATGTGCGACTGTTATTCAAATCTAAAACCGGCTACGTCCACCTGTTAACTTTGTTTAGAAACCACTTTCACTAATGGCTTTTCGCTAACTTATTCAGTCCGTTACTCGAGTATAGGAGTCAATGGAGGGGAAAAATCCATATGAAAACCTGCTTACAGGCTCTCTTCGCGAGGACACTTTACACACCTTGCCCAGACAGGGCTCCTATAGAGCGCTTATCTCTCGAATATATCTTTATACTAATGCATACTTAATTGGTCTGTCTCGACTGTCCATATAAAACAATTTAATTAGGGTGCTTTCTGCTTTGGAAAGAAAGAAAAAAAAAATCTGCCCAGCATTTATTGTATTTAGCACCAATACAGGCAGAAAATGTTGCACAAGTTTTTGGTTGAAAGAGCACCTATGTGTCCATTGAAGGGCGTTGATCCGAAAAGACAGAGAGGACAAGTAAAATCGATTTGAAGCGACCCTCTCTGTCCCTTTCACACCATTCAGACACTCCATTCCTTCTAAGACAAAGACCCAGCGCCTTGGGAATGCTGGCAAAGGGGGAAAAAAAGAGGAGGGGAAAAAAAAAAAAAAAAAAAAAAGGCTTCAATCCCCCCAAGCGAAAGGGAGAGCTCTGAAATTCCTTCATATCGCTGTTATTTCCCCACCACCACCCCCCTAAGATATGTTCAGCTCCAGGATTTTCTTCAATTCGGCGTCTAACGTTTCTGCTGTGAGGAATGTCCCTGGGAGGGAGGAGGTAATTATGGCTATTAGTGCTGCGAGCCCGGCCGCAGCCTTGGTCACTCGCAGGCTTTTGGGGTTAAAATAGCTCTCACCTCTGACCCCGCGGAGCAGAGTTGGAGCTATCGCCACAAGTTGGGCCAAAGTTTCCAAATGTGAGGCTGTGCGGCATTGGGGAGAGACTCCTCTCTAGAATTATTTTTGGTTGGGATTGAAGTCATCTTTAGGCTATTTAATTGCATTCCCCTCCTCCGTTGTTTTTTTTTCTTTCTTTTTTTTTTTTTTTTTCCCTGTTTGTTTGTTTTTTCCAGCAATCTCTTTTGGAGAGGTGTAGGGGAAGAGAGCTCAAAATGCCCTTCTTCCACCACCTTTCCCTCTGCTCTTGCCATTTGGGTTTCATTTTCGGCATGAAAATGGTCACCCCCAAACTGAGTTCCCAGGTCATCCTCCTCTTCTCCACGGAGCTCAGGAATAAAGAGGGGGGGGGGGGTGGGCACGGGGAGGGGTGACCTCCTCCCTTTAGTCCGTCCCCATTGCCACCACGACCCGTTGAGCTCTGCAGAAAAGGGGCATTTGCAAAAGGGGAGAAAAAGGACGGGCAGGGTGGGTTCACCTCCTCACACCTTTCGAGCTCATCCACTGTGAGGAGGCATCTGGGGGCCGGGGTGAACCGGGGGAGGGCATCCACAGCTGCGAGCATCCCTCTGGCAATAAGAAAAATGCATCCGAGTGGGATACGTCTCCATCTTCCATGTACTGATTAGGCTTAACAAGAGTGGAAACTTGTGTAGCCCATATTTATGGTATTAACGAGCAGTTAAAAGATTTATCCTTCTTCTGATCAATATTGTTCGTGCCCGGCCCCCCCTTCAGCCCCCCCCATGGCCCGGCCCCGGCCCTCCCCGAGGGCTGCAATGACAATTGCCTTCATACTTTTTCATCACTGTTCGAGGTGGCAAAACCCCATTGTAATTTTCATTAGCCCAGTAAACATGCAATTAACATGCAGCACTGTGGTTAACTTAATTCCCGTTTTAAGGCAAGGACAAGCAAGAAATGGAAGAGCGTTTGTTCCATTTGTCAAGTATGACACACTTCTTACCATAACAGTTTCTTAAAATAAAAGCTCGGCTCCCCACGACCACCACCCCTCTTTCCAGAAACCCCCCACACCGACACACACACACACACACACACAAAAAGGAGCAGGAATCCATTAGTTGGAGAGTATTCTCCTGCCAAAGGCGGTGTAATGTATTCCAAATTTTCCCAAGCTCTCACTGTACTGGGCTCCCATTTCCCCCCTTGGGAAGGGGCTGTGAGCTGATATTTCTCGTGGGTGAAGGATTCAGCCTCCCCCGAACCGTATTTTTTAATAAAATAAAACAAACGTGCTTGCCATGTCTAAAAGTTGCCATGTTTGTGAAGAGGGGGGGGTGGGGAAAATGTCTCCAAGGGTTTCAATTAGCAACAAATGATTATTGCAACGGATTTTTGGTAATGAAAAAATGTGGAGTACCTCTTTCTAGCTGGGATCTCAGGGGCAGTGAAAGAGAGCGGGGGGGAGAGGAAGAGAAAGAGAGAGAGAGAGAGAGAGAGAGAGAAAGAGATTGCTGATTAGCTCGGATTCTTTCCCAACTTGCTGTAGCGTGTGCTTGCGTTCCCTGCCGACCCTACACAGGACACTATATATTTTTTCCCCTTCGGTGCATGTGTTGATAGTTCAGCCTGTAGTTGTTTGCGGTTGGCTTTTTTTTTTTTTTTTTTTTTTTTTTTTTTTTTCCCTGCCTGCCGGGGAGGGGGAAGGTGGGAAGGGGGGGCTGAAATCGGCCGCATCCATCCTCCCCCCACACTCATTAAGTTAGGAGATTTCTCTCTTATTCTTTTTTTTTTTCCTCCCCAATTGGAAGGGTGGGTTGTGATTTTTTTTTTTTTTTTCCCCTAAGTCTCGCCTTTCCAGCTCCAAACAAGGTGTAGCGAGACGCTCTTCCTTCTAAGGAATGAAATGAGAGACAAGGATCACTCAAAGCCATCTCCTACCTTGGGCTTGGGGATTTTTTCTTAAAGGCGAGGCGCACATTCCTCAGCAGCTATGTACAAAGCCCCCCCTGAAACCTTGTCTGTGTAAAGTTAGAGTGTGTCCAGGATTTTTTTTTCCTCTCTCCCAAGGCTGATCGCTAATAATACATCGAAAGCACTTCCCTTTAGGTTGTGGGAAATCTATTCCCTTCACCTTGCCTCCTTTTTTTTCTCCCCCTGAAGGCTGTAACTTTACTTTTTTTTTTTTCTTCTTCTTCTTTTTTTTTTTTTTTTTTTAATCAGTTTGCACAATCGCTTTAGATAAACACCACGAAGGAGACTTCTCTTTAATTACCCAACGCACATCTTTCTGGGGGGCAGACAGCGGTCTGATCATTTTTTTGTTGTTTGTTTGTTTCACCTGCCAAACTAAAGGAGAGGTAGAAAAAGGAAGATGCAAGCGATTTGGGACCTTGAACAAGGCAAATATGGTTTTGGTATGTTTACTTCTAGTTTTTTTTCTTCTTCTTTGACACTTTTTTTTTGCGGGCAATGTGTTGTTATTCTTGTGTTTCTCTTTTAAGGAAAACAAAAAATCCAAAAAAGCAAATGTTAGCTAACGTGCGTCTTAAACGATCGTTTCTAAGGTTACGTGGGTTGCTCTAAGGAGGGGAAGAGGGGAGGGGGGGAGACCCGAGGCTGTGTAATCGCAGCACCGCCAGTTAGCACGTCCTTTAGCTAAATAAAGAAATCAGCAAACAAACAAACAAGCCAGCAAACCCAACGACCGGGATCGGCTCCCAGGTCCGAGGCTGCGAAGTGCCTCAAAGTCATTCCCAAAGCGGCGGCCGGGGCTGGGGATGGGGCCGGGGTTGGGGCTGCGGGCGGGGACGGGGCTCCGCGATCGGACCGCGCCGGGGCTGCGGCTGGCAACGCTTATAGATACGGATAGAGATATATTTAAGGGGAAAAATATAAATAAATAGGTCGGTGGGGAAGGTATAGCGTTAAGATCCCGTCTCTCCCCCCCCCTCCGGTCGCTTCCCTGGTTAAGTACAATGGAAAGAAGCTGGAATATACTCACCCTCCGAAGGTGTGGTTGGCGGCGCGGCGGAGGCTTTATGGCAATTATTTATCCTTGCTTTATTACGGCAAAAGGCGCAGATCTGAGTTTAAGCAGCAAAAGTGTTTTGCTCTGACAGCCGCATGCGAGGCACGGTTCCTCGTTTAAAAAAAAAAAAAAAAAAATCACAAAACAGGATTCCCCCCCCACCCCCCCATCCCTGACCAATATCCCTTAAAAATACCTATTCGGCACAGGGCTGGTAGGAACCCTGATGCAGAAATCTTATAGTCCGGTCTAGGAGTGCCCAAGCCAATTAATTTTAAATCCTTAGGAATTAATCAGATTAAAATGTACAGAAGTTTCATTCTCGTATGCATACGTGAGCCAAAAGTCGTTTCCCTTTAAGAGATCCTTTTCTTTTAAAGTTGAATTTTAGGCAGATAAGAGACTTACACTAGGGGGCAGCCAGATACTGTACTTGCTCCAATCTTAAGCAATTTTTTTTCCTCTCTCACAGCATATGCTCTGATTTAGCACTGTAAATTTTTCAGAGGACCCAACTCTGACAGCCCCTGGTGATTTTCAAAGTACCACAAGCCAGTGGTTAAAAATTGCATTGACTTGGAAGTTCAGAGGCACACAATAGGAGCCACTTTCCCTATTCATGGAACTTCAGTGTGGTGGAAGAGAAAAACACACACATACTACATTGAGGGAGAAGAGGAATTCATTGAATTCTGTTAGACGTAACTGCTTTCCACTGAGTTCAGAGCGAAACTCGGTATTTGTTCGATGCTCTATTCATATTGCGATTTAATCTAGAAAGAATTAGAGGGCTGCAAGGCAGCTTTCTGCCAGGCAAGCAGCTTCCCTCTCTTCCTCCTTGTTTAAAAAACCCCAAGATTTACACCGGCTCTATCCCCAACTCTATTTTAGCAAAATAAATCCTTCCACTCCCTCTCATTACAATAAATTTACATCTGCAGTAAAATGGCAGGAGGGATGCGCTTATTTATTTGGAATAAAAACAATAGAGCCTTACTTCTAAACAGAGCATTTCTATTGTGACGGGGCTCGGAGAAGGACAGCGGAGAATGTCCCCTTCTTCGCGAGGCGTTCGGGTCTCAAATAGGATTTAGCAAAATGAACCTCAGTTCATTTTTCCCTTCGCCCGCTCTGCCTCAGCCCACTCGCAAACAAATGGCAAAGCGGCGGATGGTGCTCATGGAGAGTTGCACCTCTCCATCCCTCGAAGAGCAAATAGTTAATGCGGGGCATTCTTCATTAATGCTCGAGCAATCGGCGGCACGGCGGTGTGTGAGCGTGTATCAGTGGCTTTGCATTGCTACGATCGTGTGTTAATATCGTGGGTGCTGCGAAAACTGCTTTCCCTTCCGATTTCCGCGCTGAGGACGGTATTAATGTTTTTGCACATGGCGAATTAATCCTGTTTACTTTGTCAGGTTGGAGGCAGGGAAGCTTTTATTTTTATTATTATTATTATTATTATTATTCCTCGGGAAATCCAACCTCAGCAGCAACGTGGGACCGTTCTGCGCCTCGCGCCCCGTCCCTGCCCGGAGCTCGGCCCTTGTCCTCGGGGTCACAGAAGGCGCTCACACCCTTCTACCGGGGACGGACGCCTTTCTCCTCCCCGGAGCTCGGGCACGGGTCGTCGTGCTCGGGCAGCGCCGTGTAACGGAGCCGCAGAGCATCCCCCACCCGCGGGGTCCCGGCTTTGTGCCCGCCGAAACCGCGGCTCCGCAGCACCTGCGGCTGCCGCCGCGTTCCTGCGTGCGGCACCGGGACGGAGCGCGGGTCGCGGAGCCCTTCGGATCCCGCGGAGCCCCGCGGGGCCGCGGCCGTGACCCGCGGGCGGCTCGGCTCCGGCTGCGCTCCGCCCGCCGGCCGCGACCGCGGCTCCCGTGCCCTCTCTCGGTCCGTCGACCGCGGTACGGAGCCGAAGCCCCGCTCCGTGCGGGATGGCTCCCGCCGCGGCGGTGCTCCGAGGGCTGCGGTAGCGCGCAGAGCGAGGAAAGAAAGGGGAATAGAAAGAGCACAAAGTTAGGGCGCCGAGACGGAGGAGCGCCGCGCCGGGGCCGCGCGGAGGGCTCCGCAGGTGCCGCGGAACGGAGCGGCCCGGCCTCGCCCTGCCCCCGTGACCCCGAGGGCCCGCGCCGCGCGTCTGTGTCGCCACGCTCCGCTTTTCCCTCCGCCTTCCCCTCCGCCGCCGCCCGCCGCCAGGTGAGCCCCGCGCGGGCTCCGGGAGCGGGGCCGAGATCCGCGCGCGGCCCCACGGCGGCGGCCTTTAGGACCGCGCGGGGCGGGCGGGCGCGCGGCGGCGGCCATGGCAGGGGCCGCGCACAGAGGGCGTCGCGCGCGGCCCAATGAGGACCGACGGGGGCGGGCGCGCGCGGAGCTTTCGCCCAGTCAAACGCCGCCGGCTCGCCTTATAAGGCCGCGCGGTCGCCATGGCGACGTGCGCTAAGTTGCAGCAGTCGTGTCAAAGTTCACTCTCCCGCCAGCGGGGCGAGCGGCCGGCGGGGAGCGCGCACACCACCCGGCCGCGCCCCCGCGCCCCTCCCTCTCCCCTCTCTCCCTCCTCCTCCCGCCGGGGGGGGGCGCGCTGGGGGAAGGGCCCGCGCTCCCCTCCCTCTCCCTCTCCCCCCTCCCTCGGGCTGAGGCGCGATGCTGCGCGCCGCGCCGTGATCCTTCCCTCTCCTCCTCCTCCTCCCGCTCCCCTCTTTTATCATCCCGCCCGGCTGGCGAGTTGACTCCTTCCCTCCCCCCCCCCCTCCCGCCCCGCCGCCCCCCTTTCCCTCCTTCCCCCCCCCCCCCCCCCGCCCGCGCCGTGAGCACCGGCGGCGCGGAGGCGAGAGCCCACTTGCGAGGCGGCACAAGCAGCATAAGGCAGCAGCGGCGCGGCGGAGCCCGGGCGGCGGCAGCGAGGAGCGAGCGGCGAGCGGCGAGCGGGGAGAATTAATAAAGCGGCCCCCCCTTTAAAAAAAAAAAAAAAAAAAAAGGCAAAAAAAATATATAATAATAATAAAAAGAGAGAGAGAGACAGAGAGAAAGCAGCGAGCGCGGCGCGAGGAAGAATTAAAGAGAGGAAGAATTAAAGCCGGCGGAGGAGGAGGAGGAGGGAGGAGGAGAGACGGAGCGCGGAGAGAGGAGGAAAGAAAAAAAAAAAAAAAAAAAGCCGCCCGCACACACAAAGCGGAGCGCGGCGGTGGATGTGGCTGCGGCGCGCAGGACTCGCGGCGAGAGCGGCCCCCAGCAGCCCCGCCGCCCGCCGCCCCGCGCCGCCCGCGGCCGCGGCGTTCCCCGGCTGTTCGTCCGCGCCTTGATGGCTTTCCTGAATGGCTGACGGCGAGCTGCCCTGGAGCTGGCCCCCCGGCACCACCCGCCTCTCCGCCGGCAACTCCGCTGCGGATCGGCGCTGAGAGCAGCGGGCACAGCGGCGAAGGGATTTTTTTTTTTTTTTTTTTTTCCTCTCTCTCTTTCTCTCTCCCTCTCCCCCCCCTCCCTTTCTCCCTTCGCTCTTCCCCGTGCTCGGCGCCGGGGAGCTTCGGAGAAAGGAGAAAAAAAATAAAAATTTTAAAGATATATCTTTTTTTTTTTTCTTTTTTTTTTTTTTTTTTTTTTTAAAGCAACAAAAGGGAGAGAGAGGGAAAGAGAAAGAAAGGAGGAGGAGAAAAAAAGCAAACTGCTGCAAAGCTGAGCTGCAGAGCAAAGCAAACAAACTTTGAAAATAAAGGGGGAACAGGAAGTTTGGCAACGGTGTCCAATAGATATGGCAATGGTAGTCGGTGCGTGGCGAGACCCCCAGGACGATGTGCCCGGAGCTCAGGGAACGCAGCCAGCGCCCGCCCCGCCGGTGCAGGGCCCCCCGGCCGGGACCCCGCACACCCCGCAGACCCCGGGGCCCGGCGGCCCCCCCAGCACGCCAGCGCAGAGCAACGCGGCGAGCCAGCAGAGCCAAGGGGACAAGCAGCAGCAGCAGCAGCACATTGAGTGCGTGGTTTGTGGGGACAAGTCTAGTGGCAAACACTACGGCCAGTTTACCTGCGAGGGTTGCAAGAGTTTCTTCAAGCGGAGTGTAAGGAGGAATCTCAGCTACACTTGTCGTGCCAACAGGAACTGTCCCATTGACCAGCACCACCGCAATCAGTGTCAGTACTGCCGCCTCAAAAAATGCCTCAAAGTTGGCATGAGACGGGAAGGTATTGGGATTTCATTTGTTTTGCAATTTTATTTTTTTCCTCACCCGCTGCCTTTTAGGTTTGCTTTTATTATTATTATTCTGATTATTTTGAATTATGACGATTATGCTTTTATTGTTAACCTCCCTTCCCCCCTCTCACCTCTTTCCCCCCCCCCCTCCCCCCAACCTCAACCCCACCAGAACCCTCCCCCCCTCCCCAAATAAACTTTCTCTTCTTGAAAGAAAGAACCGTGGGAGGGGAGGAGGGGGCTCCCGCATGCTGCCCCGGAACCCACCGCGGCCGTCGCCGTGTGCCGGGGGGCGGCTGCTCGGGGACGGATTTCCACTCCGGAGCCGATGGCTCCGCCGGACGCTCGCTGTCCCCGCGTTCCCCCCCTGCATGCTCGGGGCTCCCCGTTCGCATTCAGCCCCCGGCCCGCGGCTTAACCCAGGCGGTTCGAATTACGGTTACAATGGAACTCACCCTCCCGAGGGCTCTACAGCACTCCACTGTGGATTCCCGACCGGATTTTCCCTCCTCTAAAAACACATAGACACATCCCTCCCTCCCTCCGTGTGTATGTGTGTGTGTGTGTGTGTATCGCCGTGTGCCTGCCTCTCCCCTCGCTCTGACCCCACTTTTCTCCTTCCTCCCTTCTCCCCGTCCTTCCCACGGGGGTGAAGCAGCACCCAGAAGGAAGCGAGGGGCGATGGGGGCTTTGTGCTATAAAATTAGCCGGGAAATGTGAGCCCGCGGCCCCGCAGCGCGTCTGGACGCTGCTATGTAGGTTAAGGGTGAGGGGGCTCGGGACTTGCCGGGCTCCTCTTTGTGTTCCTGCGGGAGAAACCGGGCTCGGAGCGCGGCCGGCAGCGAGCAGAGCCCGAGCGCGGTGTCCGCCGTCCCCTCCCCGCCGTCCTCCTGTCCCCCGGCCCCTTTTTCTCTCTCCTTTTTTCCTCTCTCCGTGTCAGTGTCTGAACAAAACGCCACAGGCCCGCTTTCCCGGGAAGGTGCCGCCGGATAAAGCCTGGCCCTGGGGGGGAGGTGATGCTGGGGCTGCTCGCTCCTCGCTTTTCTTTTCTTTTCTTTTTTTTTTTTTTCTTTTCGGGGGTTGCGAAGTGTCGGTGCCCTCTGCCCCCTGCCCGGCCCTCTCCCCCAGCCCCAAATCGATAAAGCTGCTTTGGTCGGAATGAAGGAAAACACAAAGCGTGGCCGTAGGAGGGCTGGAAGGGGGGGATCGCTGGGTCCTGCCGTGTGCGGGAGGTGAGGCTGTGCCGGGTCGGGGACGCTCTGGGCTCGGGCCGTGGCACGGCCGCACGGAGCGGGCTCGGGGCTGGCGGCGCTCGGAGCAATTCAGATATTAATAGCTGTAGTTTCTTCTTTATTCACTGCAGCGGTCCAGAGGGGCAGAATGCCACCCACACAGCCAACTCACGGTCAGTTCGCCTTGACAAACGGGGACCCTCTCAACTGCCATTCCTACCTATCCGGATATATCTCCCTTCTTCTGAGAGCAGAGCCCTACCCCACCTCCCGCTTTGGCAGTCAGTGCATGCAACCCAACAACATCATGGGCATCGAGAACATTTGCGAACTGGCAGCTCGGATGCTCTTCAGCGCGGTGGAGTGGGCCAGGAATATCCCCTTCTTCCCAGACCTGCAGATCACAGACCAGGTGGCCCTGCTCAGGCTGACCTGGAGCGAGTTGTTCGTGCTCAACGCCGCCCAGTGCTCCATGCCCCTCCACGTAGCCCCGCTGCTGGCAGCCGCCGGCCTCCACGCTTCGCCAATGTCTGCTGACCGAGTGGTCGCCTTTATGGACCACATACGAATCTTCCAAGAGCAAGTAGAAAAACTGAAAGCGTTGCATGTCGACTCCGCAGAATATAGCTGTTTAAAGGCCATAGTCCTCTTCACCTCAGGTAGGCAGCGTTTCTTTGCTCTCCCCTTCCTCCCCCCTGCCCCTCCGAGAGGTGTTTGCTCTTTGCAAAGTGTTGCTGCCTTCGCCAGCCCCGCTGCCCTGCCAGGAGTGGGGCTGGGGGGCTTCCCGCGGGGCCTCGGCTCTCAGCAGCCCCCCAGCGTGGGCTGCGGGGGGAAATAACCCATCGCAACGATGAGAAATAGACGGGGAAGCGCACCCCGAGCCTTGCTGCGTCAGGCTGGGGAAGGGGGAAGAGGGGACTCAGGGGGAGGCACCCATTCGCCACAAGAGACTGCGCTTTTCCCATTGAAAATAATATTTTATTTAACAGTCTAGCTCTGGGTTGTTGCATTTAATGACACGCATCCGAACAGCAGCAAAAATCTGTTTGATGTTGTTAAATACAAGGCGTCCTATCAGTGAAACCACTTTAAAAAGAGTATCATTTTATGGGCAGCCAGGAAGGGGGGGCGGGGAGAGGGGGGGGAAAGCCCTGCAGGATTAAAAATTGAATGAAAGAAAAATATAAAAACTTAAATGCGCAAAGCTCAGTTTAAAATATGTTCCCTGCCATCCCATAAAATAAAATAAATCAACTTCCCAAAGAGCTGTCTCTGATTGAAACAGAACGTGGCAGCGAGCAGTTCTGTGTCATTGGAGCTAAGGGGAAAAGTTTGCATTTGTACCCAGCAGGAGCTGCAGAGTGCAGAGCGAGGAGAGGGTGCGGAGGGATCATTACCATAAGCAGTCGGGGACAGCAGGAAAAAGTCAGAGCAGAGGGCAGGAGCTGCGCTTTGCCGAGCAGTTCCGGGGTGGCACGAGGCGAGGAGCACAGCTCGGGGCGCTGCTGGGATCATCAAAGCGAAGGGGGGAAAAATATGTGTCAACTTTTGCTGCCTAGAAATAGTGCATGAGTTATAAAGCAATAATTGAGTGCGTTGTGAAATCTAATTAGCTTGCACTAGAGTTTAACTTGGGTGACTAATAAGCCTGATATTAACTCTGGAGGCTAAATATTTTTATTATTATTATTATTTTTAAATCTGCTCGCTAATTTGCGCAATATGTGATCTCAGATGGCTAACTTGAAGGCTGCAGCCCTGCAAGTTTGGGGATGGAGTTTAAAAATCTCTAGATTTCTTCTGTAGCTCATTGGGAAGCTTGGGAAAGTGGCCACGCGATAAACATATGAATGGAAGCAGGACCTGTAAAATAATTACTCATCGGAGTTTTTTAAAGCCTGATATCAGGAAACAGGAAAAAAAAATGTAGTTTATGTGGGAAAAGGAGGGCTCACAATCCGCTCCTTGTTGTCTTAAAGGGGGTCTGGGGAACGAAGTCATTTTCTGGACTTTGTCCAGGTTCTGGGTCGTGACCTAAACTTCCTTTTATATATTATTGCTTTACACATTAAAAAAAAAAAAAAAAAAAAAAGCCTTCTCCTCCCAACTTCCCCCCCTTCCCCTTCAACCAGCCACGCTGAGGTCCTGGGGTGACCCACGAGCACCCACTGGGGGGGTCCCGCGTGGGGCCGCTGCCCCTGGGGCTCTGTTTGGGGTCCAGGCACACGTGGGGACGCCCCACGGATCCCCCACACCTCCACTGGGCTGCAGCAGCCCTGAGGAGCGGAGCCGAAACCTCTCCTTTCTCCCCAAATCACTTGATTATGATGATGATTATTATTTTTAGCCTTCTGAGAAAACAATCGTCCGATCCTGTCGTAACTGTTTAATTTATTGCTATTTTCCAAATGTGAGGCCTGGCGTGTAAATTGCCTCCCAACGAGATAAACGCTCCTTCTTATCTCGATGCTGGGGAGATAGCCCAGTGCACAAGGAGGGCTCCGCACACAGCTCCCCAATAACAGCACTGATGGAAAGCAGATGCACAGGGATGCACACACACTCGATTTGCTCCTGCTTCTCTTTTTTTTTTTTTTTTTTTTTTCCTTCTTTTTTTTTTTTTTTTTACACACACAGAGAAAGAAAAAGGGGGGGAAAAAAAAAAAAGAAAAAGAAAAAGAAAAACACAACAACTGGGTTCTAATGACTCTCAGAATATGCATGTGTTAGCCCTGTGCCTAGGAAAGCCACAGGGAGGTCAGGTCACAACCTGTGCTCTTTCAGCACAGACGTCTCTGATTTAAAGGGAAGTTATTGTATTTTAGCGTATCAGGAAAAAAAAAAATGTCCAGACCCTATCAGGGAGTTTTCTTCTTGTAAGGGCCTTTAGGTTTAAAAAGAAGAAGAAGAGGAAAAAAGGGGGGGAAAAAAAAAAAAAAAAAAAGAGGGGGGGAGTTGAGGGGGGGGAAGAAAGAAAGAGAAAAGAAAAGAGGGGGGAAAAGAAACAGCTCAAATGAACAGAGAGATCACAGTTTGCATGGCTGCCTCTGAATAGGCTAAACTGACAAGATCAGTTTTAAAGGGCCACTTAAATCAGTTTCAAAGACTGAAGAAAAACGCGTTGTCTTCTCTGGGGGAGAATCTGTTGCTGGATCCGGGGCGCCATTCTCTGCGGCTGGGCCGGTTTTTTAGCCTTCTGATGATGATTTCCATCACTGCCATCAGCACGCCTTCCCATCGCACGCTCAGGCTCCCCACGCTTCTTTTCCAAGTGGGGGAGATGGAGCTGCCCCCCCTCCCCTCGCCCCCCGCCCCGCCCCGGCCTTTCCCCGCACACCAGAGGTGGGGGGACCCGGGCAGCCCCCCCCCCGGAGGGAGAGGTGTGGAAAAGGACAGAGATTGGCCCTATGGGTGATGCCCACGGAGACTCCTGGGGGGCGAGGTGATGGCGCTCGATCCGCGCTTCTTTCTAGAGATTAAAAAAAAAATCAAAAAAGAAAACTTTTTAATCTGATGATTGTTTTCTTTTTTTCTTTTCTTTTTTTTTTTTCTTTCTTTCTTTTTTTTTTTTCTTTCTTTTTTTTATTTTTTTAATTTTTTTTATACACTTTCTTCTAGATGCCTGTGGTCTCTCTGATGTAGCCCATGTTGAAAGTTTACAGGAGAAGTCACAGTGTGCTTTGGAAGAGTATGTTAGGAGCCAGTATCCCAACCAGCCAACACGATTCGGGAAGCTATTACTACGTCTCCCCTCCCTTCGCACTGTCTCCTCTTCTGTCATAGAGCAATTGTTTTTCGTCCGTTTGGTAGGTAAAACCCCCATAGAAACCCTAATCAGGGATATGTTACTGTCTGGCAGCAGTTTTAACTGGCCTTACATGTCCATTCAATAAAATATTCGAGAGAGAGAGAGAGAGAGAGAAAATAAAAATCAAAATCAAATAACAATTGAGAAGGGAGATGAGAGTGAAAGGAAAGCAAATGACATTTGGGTTCTGGTTGTTTCTTAAATTTCCTTCTGCTAAGAGAGGACGTAAAAGGATGCTACAAAGTTTGCAAAGTGAAGACAGGAAAAAAAAAAAAAAAATAATGGACTGTGAATTAAAAAAGAGAGAGAGAGAGAGAGAGAGAGAGAGAGAGGCTGTCACGTGAACTTTTACAGAATGCATTAAAAACTCCCGTGTCGCTCCGAAAATACAAGTTGCTACTCATCGTTTTTTGTACAAAACTTTAAAAAAAGAAAAAAAAATTAAAAAAAAAAAAGAGAGAGAAAAAAGAAAGAAAGGAAAAAAAAAAAAAAGAAGAGAGAAAGCAGAAGGAAGGAGATGGCGGTGGGCTTTTTCTTTTTTTCTTTTTTCTTCTTTTTTTTTTTTTGTTTTTTTTTTTGTTCCTTTTCTTTTTTGGGGGGTCAACTTTTTAAACAATTCTCGCTTAAAGTGCATTTAAAGGAAATTTGGAGAAAATGAGCAGAACGGAAGGAAGGAAGTCTTTTTTTTTCCAAATTATTAATTGTCCTATGTGTCTATGTACCTATAGCTGTTCTTTTTTGTATTTTTCTGGTTTCAAACCAGTTTATTCTGTGGTTCTATAATAATTTTTTGATATAATCTTGGCTTCTTTAAAAAAAAAAAAAAAAAGAAAAAAAGAAAAAAAAAAAAAAGAAAAAAAAAACAAAAAAAAACCTGTGTATCCTTAAAATATATGTTCTGAAAGAATTAAAACTGAGTCCAGGAACGTATCGTATAGGAAGAAAGGAAAAGAGAGAGAGAGAGAGAGAGAAACACAAACTCAACATCACGGTGATGGAAGCGCACTTAAGGTGGTGACCCAAAATCTAAGCTTGAAGCTGAGAGAGCTATAATTATAGAGACCCGAATGAACCACACGTGTCATACAGCTCCCCCCAAATCTCGGTTTTTTGATATTTCGGACAGAAAATGAACTGTGGGGATTATATTCTAGGTAGAAGGAACTGTGTCCAAGACACACCACGGTTTTGATTTAAAAGCAAGCAAACAAGCGAAGTGAACTTTTGTAATTCGAATTGGGTTCCACATAGTTCATCATGAATTGTTATTAAACTCCTCTATCTGTTTGTATATTTGCAAGCCCTTTGTATTATAATAATTGTTGATATTTTCCCTTTTTAAAAAAAAAATACCATTGAAATCAGCATGACAAAATAACACTGTTGGCACTTATAGATAACGTGATTGATTCAGTATCTTAGAGTTTACAGTTTTGTGTTTAAAAAAAAAAAAAAACTGAAGGTTTTTTTTTTGTTTTATTTTTTGTTTTATTTTTTTGTTTCGTTTTTTAAGTGCAACATTTCTGTATACTGTAAAAGTTATAATAACTGAACTGTTTGGTCGAGTCTTTGTGTGTTATATTCCAAGGAAAATTGAAAGTATTCAGAAATTAAAATATTATTTGATATCTGAAACCTGTTTGGCTGTCATAAATGTCTTTCAGAAACCGCATTACTTCTCTATAGTTTGCAGTCCTTTAGGCCCATAGGCGATTGGTTTGTTTACTTGTCACAGTAAGTTTGTAGCAGATGTATTGTAGTGTATTTACCTGTTTAATTCCGGGCTGGGGGCGGAGGACTGAAGTTGGTGGTTGATCTGTGGTTTGAGGGAGCACCGGTGCTGAAACGGTGAACCAGCAACCCCCCATTCGTCAAATCCTCCTGGTAATTCAAAATGGATTTTCTGGAAGGAAAAAAAAAAGGCAAAAAAAGAAAAAAAAAGAAAAAAAAAAAAGGCCCTTATTTTTGTCACCCTGAAGTGCCTGCGTAGGAAAGGTATTGTTGTGAAGTATTAGAAATCTGGAGATCAGTATCTATTTTATGATCAGAATGGGGCGAAAATCTTTTGTAAATGTCTGACATAGGCGCACAAGATCATTCAAGCAAGGTAATAGCAGTATTGTAAATATAGGTCAGTTGTTTGCAATGAGTTTTCTTGAAGTACGTGTGATTTTTTTACAACGCTCTGTAGTTGCCATCTATCGTTGTCATTGAGAGGTCTTCAATTGGAGTGGCTGTAGCTTCTAGCACCGAGGAGTCGGTTTTTCATGTATATATCCCCTCCAGCGGATCGGTCCTCACGCTTTTTCCCTCGGGCTGTACGGACGCTCCCACGGGTCGCTCCCCGCTCCCCGCACACGGCCACGCGCGGCCGGCCACGCAGCCCCGTCCCGCAGGGCCTCCCGCAGAGCCGAGCGCTCGGGGCGACGCGAGGTGGTTCGGAAGGAAGGGCTTTGCTCTTTGGTTTTGTGCGTCTGCGGGTCATTTTTATTTTCTCCTCTCTCTCCCCCTTCTTCCCCCCCCCCAAACCCATCCATCCATTCCATCCATCCATCCATCCATCCATCCATCCATCCATCCATCCATCCATCCATCCGTCCATCCATCCACCCACCCACCCACCCCCCGCCCTCCCGTTGCTCTGTGGCGGATGCTCTGGATGCGAAAGCTCGCAATTTTGTTCCCGGCTGAGGATTTGTCCCCTTCTCCCCATTGCCACGCGTTGTCACACAGTGCTGTGGTCTCGCACGGGGCTCGTTCCGTAAAGTGGATTCCAGCCCGGGCTGTGGCTGCTGGGGCCGAGGGCGCAGGGCTGTGAGCCGAGCGGGGCTCTCCATCTGAATCATGGCTCCTTTCCTATAAATATATAAATATCTATAAATATATAAATATACTATTATTGCAGGGGATTGCTGACCTCTAGATTTAGCTTTTTCTATTGCAAGTGCTATCCATGTGAGTGTGTGTGTGTGAAGTTTTTATGCTTACTAAGAACACAGGATCTTGACTTGTTTGTTTTGTGTTAGTTTATTGTAAACAACCATTTGTTGTAAATTGTTATTGGCATTAAATTATAATTTATGATTTTCAAATCCAAAACATTCTCCGCTTTTTATGTCGTAAAGCCTGTAAGCTCTCTCTGTATTTATAAGTTCCTCGCAGCAAGCTTTGGTTCGCTGAGAATAATAGTAAACAGAAAAGCACCAGGGTTCAATCAGAGCACACCCGCACGCACACCCGCACGCACGAGCCCCGTGGATATGCAGACCTAGACGGGGCTGCTCTGCTCCGAGCGGGATTTGTTTAGGGACTGCAGTTAGTTTTAAGTTTATAGCATTTAAAGAAAGTTTTTCTTTTCATGCTGAGTTAGAACAAAAGATCTATCCAAAGATTGAATTGGACAAAAGAGGAGGGTTGGGATCGAGGAGCTTGTTCTATGTGGAATTGAGGAGATCTTTTTTTAAAGAGGGAAGAAAAAAAAAAAAAAAGCTGCTAAACATGGCGACTCTTTCCCTTTAAGTCTATTTTTTTCTTCCCTTGCCGTCCCCCCCCAAGCCCTCCCTCTTTTCTTTTTTTCTCTTTTCTCTTTTTTTTTTTTTTTTTAATTCTTTTTTTCTGTTTTTGTTTGGGTTTTTAAATCTCGATTCTTTCCCCACCACGGGCGCGGGGACTGGCGGGGAGAGACCCGAAGGCGACCCGGAACGAGAGCTGCAGAGCTCAGCTCGGGCGCAGGGCTTCGCCTCCCCTCCTCCTCCTCTTCCTCCTCCTCCTCTTCCTCCGCGCCGCCGCTCGCCCGAAGCTTCCCCGGCCCCGCCGGTGGGGAGGTGGGGGGGGAGGCGGCTGCGCGGGCGCGGAGGGGGCGCGGAGGGGAGGCGGCTCTCCCAAGTTCAGACAAAAGCGGAGGGCTGGGGCGAGAGGAGGCGCCTGGCGGGCGGTGCCGGCCCGCCCGTGGGGCTGCCGGGGCTGGGCGCAGCTTCGCGGCCCCGCCGGGCTCCCACCCGGGGGGTTGGAGAAAGAGGGGGTGGGGGGAGGGAGAACCCTCGCTCCGCGCGACGGGGAGGGAAAAGCCGCGGTGGGAAGCGCGTGGGAAAAGCCCCGCGCCGGGCATTGCGATGTGCCGCAACCCACAACATGGCGGCCCCGGCCTCGGTTTGCGCGCCGCGCGGATCCGCCGCTTCCAGCGGCAGCGCGGGGGGCCCGAGAGCTGAGCGGGGGCGGCCGCGGGTGGCGGAGCGGAGGGCGCGGAGGGCGCGGAGCCCCGCGGAGCCGCGCCGCTCGCTGAGCGCGGCGGCGAACCGGGGAAGCGACTCCCCCGTGAGAGCGCGACCCACCGGGGTCGGACCCGCCGTGGGTTCGGGGAGCACCGGCAGATGCGCCAAAATAAAGGGGTGGGAGGCCGGGGGGTGCGGAGAGGGGGAGGACCGGGCCGCTGCGAGGCGCTCCGGCGGTGGGAAGCCGGCTGGGGGGGTTCTTTTTATTTTAATTAAAACTTTCGTGGGTCCCGGGGATCGCGCTCGCTCTGCTTTGCTTTGTAGGGTGGAAAGAGATACACGGAGCAATGCGGGCCTTGTCAGGATTTATTGAAGTCGGGTTTAAAAAACGTGCTTCAGATGATTTTTCCCATTTTCTCAGATTTCAAAGGCTCCCCGCAGTGCGGCTGCCTAATTAATGGTGAAATTCAACTAAATCTAATTATGCAGTAATTTTAAAGCAGTTAGTCCTGGGCGCTGCTTTGTAATAGGAACCCAGTTTTTAAAGTTTGCTTAATGTGTTGGTTTAGGGAGCTGGGGAGGAGAAGGGTGTGAGGGACAGAGCGCTGCTTTTTTTTTCTTTTTTTTTTTTAATTCCCCCCCCTTCCACCTCCCCCCATAATGTTGTAAAGCAAAGAACCGCGAACTGCAAACCCCAACCACGCAGCGAAAGGGCCGGAGCGGGGCTGTGTTATCCGTCGGATGTGATACGGGTATTGAGTGAGAAGCACCAGCGAAAGTGTAAATAACCCAGTAGTTAATAGGGACCATAAAGGTATTCCCGGCCTGTGGGTTTCCAAGTGCCAAGCTGTTGGAGAGAGGATCTTGAGTCCTGCGGTAATAAAGGGGCAACGGAGACACACAGCGTCTCTTCTTGGGAAATAGAAACCAGATTTCTGCTATTGAACATCTATTGTCATTAAGAGGAGAGGCTTGTGCTCACGGAGTTATAAATCTTATCACCCTTTTGATAACACAGTTGTAATCAGTTAGCATCACATTCAAACCCAATTGTAAAACTGCCTAATTTAATATGTCATACATGTCATTAAAACTTTATTTTCCCCCCTTCTCTTTTTTTCCCCTCTCCCTTCCCATCCCCCATCTATAAAATGTCAACAGAGCGGCGTGGCACAGCGGGGCGGGGGGGTTCGCCCTTTCCCACCTGGGGCAGAGGGAGAGGAGCGTGAGGGGCCAAAATAAAATAAAAAGAGAGGGGGGTGGGAGAGCAGGGAGAGGGGAACGCGGTCGTGATGGAAGGACTGCAATCGCCCAGAGAAGTTCTTTGAAAGAAACTTGTCTCATGATTAGCTAAGCAAACACATCTGCTTTCCTAGTTTGGGCTTAGCTAATTACCAAAACAAAGGGGCCGTTTCTTCTTCTACCTTTGCTGGCAAGGAGATGTTATTTCAGCAGTGCTGTCCCTCCGGCCCCGCGCGCACCCGCAGCCCCGTCCCAGCCCCGCACCGCTTCCCTTCATTGGGATCATCGGTGGGGAAATGGGATCTCGCACCCTTCTTCCTACACGCTGAGCTTTGCCATTCCCCCCTTTGGAACAATATTTTTCCACCAAATGTCCCCGCGGCGGTGGAGGTGGGGTGGGAAGGGAGGGGGGGGGGGGGGGGCGGAACGGTGGTTTAGAATTGCGGACCCACTTCGCAGCTATTTGAATCAAGGCTGCGCCCGGTTGATTTTAGTTGACAGAGCGTGTGTTGAGGCTGAACTCTATAATTTGCACTTCTGTTCTTTTATTAGAGTTGGACAACGAACTAATGAGCTTTCCCCCGGCACAGTGTCACTTGTATTTATTTTCTTTGGGAAACTTTTAGATAGAAGAACTGTTCTGGAGAAAGGGCAGCGGCGGAGGGATGGGTTCGCGAATTCTTTTTTTGTTTCTGGAGGTGCGGGGAATCTCCTCTTGGGGAGGGGGGATTCTGTGCTTCCCTGTCGGCCCTTCGCGAAGGGTTGAGCTGCGGAGCCGCTTGGGATCCCGGCGGTGCTGCCTCGGCGGGGCTCGGGGCCGGGATGGCAACGCGGAGACGATGCTGGAAAGCCTGAGTAAAACGCGGCGATCCGCGGGGCCGCATCGGTGGGAGCTGCTGGCAAAGGGCAAGAGCGAGGGGATCAGGGAGCGGCCCAGCTTGTGCCTGCGAGACTGCGGGCAGAGGGGCTGATAGAAAGACGGGGAGATGAAAAAAACAGACAGAGAAAGGGGAGAAAAGCCCGAAGGAAGGGTTTCCACGAGCACAAAAAGCGGGGCGAAAGGTTTTGTCGCTACGTGCCCACCGACGCACAGAACGTTGCACTGCTCCGAGCCCGCTGGCGCCGTGCGAGCCGGGAGATAGCCTGAATTTTGATTCCAGCGTGTTGTCTTTGAACCGGGCCTTTCGGTTTATTAAGGCAGGAAGAGGAACGATCCTCTTTGAAACACGCTCGGTTTAACTATTTTACACAAGTTTGCCCAGGTCCCTGGAGATTCTCCAGTTGAAGAAGATTGAAATTAGAGTTAAAAGCCTGCGAGGGGGGGTTGGAGAGGAAGCTGGGGTGGAGGGCGAGTGTGAAAGGGGGTGATGAAGCCATCGCGGGCGATCTCTGCATTCTGCTGCCGCCGGTCGGAGCGGAGCGGTGCGGGCAGCGCTGCTCGGTCCGTGCGCGCAGATCCGCGTGTGCCGCACCGCCGCACCACCATGGCCGCACGCACACGCGTAGCTCGTAGGCCACACTCAGTATTCCGAGAAACGCAGCAGAAAAATCTGCTCATCACTGTGGCTGCCGAAATGCGCACAATGACCGCCTGCAGCAGGTCCGCTCCCAAACTTCGCCTTTTCTTTGTTTTCTTTCCTTTATTCCTTCCCCCCCTCCACCACCACCTCCTTGTAAATTGCTGTTAACGTGTGTCTTTATGTTCTGTCTATAACTAGGATGTAATCAGGCGCCCCATGTCTCTCTCTAAAAGCATTTAATAAATGTCTATTAAAGCGCTACAAATGTAAGATAAATTCAGCGGCGCGGCTGTCTCCCCGTACCCAAACGGTAATGATGGATTTATCAACAGGGATTCGCCTTCAGCGCAGTGAGGGAGATTTACTCAACAAATAAGTCGGAAAAGCACCCATCCAAATACAGCCATTTGTACGGAACCTGATTTCTTTACAGCACCACAGATTCGAGAGAACACACCGCCTATTGCCTCTTCTCTATTATTATTTTTCTCTTTCTCTTTTATTTTTCTTCTTCCCCCCCCCTTCCGCCCTCCTTTTATCCCCCCCTTTCCAACACGGTCGCCGCGTGTATCTCTGGTTGGGGAGCGTTATTGGTAGGGGAAGCTGACAGGCTCGGACAGAGCTCGGATCTGTGCCCCATTTCTCCGCATCTCCCCCCTCCTCTTTCCTTATTTCCCCCATTTCAGCCCCAAAACGTCGACGAGATGTACGTCAGGTCTCAAAACTCGTCGAGTTTCGGAGTGTAAGGTGGATGATGATAAAAGGGGAGATTCGGCCCCCGAACGTCCTCGTGCCGCTCCCCAAACGCGGAGGCACCGCCCGGAGAGATGCTGCTCTCCCGCTGACACCGCTCCCCTTTTTCCCAGCCCTCGCTTTGAACCCTTCCCATTAGCGTGGATGAGGATAAAAGGAGTGAACTCAGAAGGAACCACCATTCATTGTTGGATTCAAGCACTGTATTAAAAAAAAAAAAAAAAAAATTACTGAAATGCGGCCACATAGCGCCCTTCAGATTATTTCCCTTTCCTAGAAAGTATCTCCCAACCTCAGCTCTCTCCCTCCCCCCAACCTAACACCCCCCCTTCCCCCCCCCCCCCCCCCCCCCCGACCACGATTCGTCTTGGAAAAAAAAATGCATGTGCTGATGTGATGGAGTCCTTTAAACAACGAGGATGCGAGAGCGGTGTTCGTGCTGAAACATTAACCCTGTTTCTGAATTTCCTTCCTTTCCAATAGCTGCTTCTATTTTACCCTCCCGGATCTCCGATTTAAGCATCCAGGAGCAATATTGGCTTGTTAGAGACGTATACATTTGAATTTCATTTAATTTAATTTCGGTATTGTACTTAAAGTGACAATAAATAAAGCCGAGAACTTGTATTTTCCTTTTTCTGCGGAGAGTTTTTTATTCTCCTCTAGAAATTTCATTGAGATGTCTCTGTACTTTGTTTGTCAGTTATCTTTGTTCCTTTTAAATAAAGGGCTTTTAAATGGACTTATTGCTCCCAGCGTGGGTTCTTCTCTCTAAATGTTAGAAAATTGTGCCATCTACCCGCTATTCTAAGTACTGTCACACTCGGAGACCTCCAAGGACCTTCCAGCCCCGACTTCAATACAGCCGTGTCAAAGGGTGCCTAGTAGCGAGAGGAGAAAGGTTGGCGTGGGTTTTACAGATTTCCAGCCTGAATCGCTCTGTGAAGCGCCGAAATGATCTGCAGAGATGCAGTTGGGCTCCTTTGATTGCTGCGTCCCCGGCCCACGGACTAATGAAGCCGCTCTGCCTCTGCCCCACCGCACTTTTCTCTGCGGTGCGGAGTTTCCGTGCTCATTTCAGCCCCGAGAAGTGGGGCTGTGCCGGGGGGCTGCGGGGGGGGGGGTTGGAAGGCAGCCTATCCTCCTGTCTTGGCTTTTTTCTTTTTTTTTTTCCCCCCTTTGAAATAGACAGATATTTATAGCCGTGGCCTCTAATGATGAAAATATAGTGTTGTTAATTGGGGGGGGGGGAGGGGGGAAGAAAAAACGGAGCTCTGTGAGGCTGGTTGTGGCGAATCGGCTCGGGGTGCTGCTGGGTGAGCTTCCGAGAGGGAAGGAGAGAAATAGAGACGTACATCAACTTTGGAGGCCCTTCCATCTCCATCCAAAGGCTGCTCGCAGCCACCCAGCCCTGCCTTTACCCGGACAGGAGCTGCGAGGCTTTGGGGTTAAAAGCAGATTTCGAAACCATTCTTGCTCGTGGGCGCACGGAAGAAGTTGGGCAGTTATTTGGTTCTTCTTCCTTTTTTTTTCCCTCCACCGTCCCACCCCACCACAAGTTCTCCTAAATCAGTTCTAACGGATTCTCGGCGTTCAGGTTGACGGTGCGGCTGCACATCCTCCAACTGATCCGGGGGTGCTGAGGGGATGTGAATGTCACCGAGCATTTCTGGGAGGGGGGAAAAAAACCACGGGACGCTGCGGGACTTTGACCATTTGTTTCGCACCGTTCGGGAAGCGGTGTTTTAAGCAACGTACAACTAAAACTATATCGCTCTTGGGATAAATACCAAGAAACTCCAACAGGAATCGGTTTAGATCCCGGGATACTTGTTGCTAAAACAGATCTATATCTCAAAACCGAAGCGGAGAAGCAGGCAGACACGGGCAGCTCTGTTCCAGCTGCAGTTTTTCAGCCCCGCTTCCCCAGACCAGACAGGCTGTGCAATCGCTTCTCCGATTTCCCAGTTGGCATTTATTCTCGTCGGAACATCCCGGCACTGCAGAATCCCTTTCTGTCTCTTTTTCTGTGCCTTCCCCGTTTGTTCCCTTTTCGGGCTATCGGGGCCGTTTCGTTGTTTGATTTCCACCCCCTCCCTTCTTCCCCCCCCCCGCCCCGTTTGATTCCTCCCGACGTCATTTTCTCTATAACGGTGAATACTTCTGCCGGTCAGATATTGAAGTTCAAACTTTATCCTCCTCACAACCTGCAGGCGACCCTGCCCTCCTCCCTTCCTCCTGTCAGGAGAATCCAAGTTGTGACAGCGGCTTCCCCAGCCGCTCCCTAACCTCCATCACGGACTGTTTGCTCACGTTAAGTCCCATCTCCCCACACGCCATTATGTTTTCCTTGCCCCAGAACCTTCCCCACACCGCGGGATCGGTCCCCGCTCACGTACAAGGGTTCAGAGACCGCTGCTGTGTGTGACAGCTTTATTTTTCGGGACGAGAAAAGTCGTCCCCGGTTGTCGATGCAATGGAGCCCACCGGCAGGTTTTCCTACCTCCATAATCTAATCTCAGCCAACAAGTTTCTGCCTTTACTCCTGCAACATTACTAATTAACGACCCCTGGGAATTAAACGTACAGTGACCTAAAATTTCCTGCTCTCGCTGACAGTTGGGCTTTGCCTAAAAAAAAAAAAAAAAAAAAAAAAAAAAAAAAAGTGAGAGAGAGAAAAGAGAAAAAAAGAGAAGAAAAAAAAATGATAATAATAAAAAAAAACTAAATAAGGGTAATAATAAAACCTCCGGGAGACGCACATATGAACTGACTTAAAGGAAAAGCCTTAGAAAAGGCATCGAACATCCAGGCAGGTTTTACACCAACTCCGAATTGAGTTCAAAGGAGCGAGCGGAAGGGCTGCACCCAGCAAACTTCGCTGGATGTTGCTCGGCTCCGACTCCATCTCTCCCTCCTTGCAGCCAAAGGCAGCCCAGACAATAGGAGGAGGTCAGAGCCCGTCCTGCTGCCCGTGTCGTCCGCAGGAGCTCGGGCAGAGCGCTGCTGCCTTTCTCGGCTGCCTAACAGCGGTTCGTTTTATGATGCTCCACGTCTGACAGCCACCCCCTCCCTCTCGGATTTTGTGTTTCCTATTCTCTTTATGGGCGGCCGATTCATTTTGCACTGTCACTATTTCCAGTTCTGTGGGTTTACCGATGTCTTAGTTTAACCAAAAAAAAAAAAAAAAAAAAAAAAAAAAAAGTACCCTATTCCTACCCAAAGATTTCATTAGCTCCGCTGGCTGCTTTTCAGACAGCAGCTTTCTCTCTCTCTCCTCCGGATGAATTTATCCAATCCCTTCTCACGTTTTATTTCGAGATTTTGTTGAGAATCTGACATCCCGGCCGGGTCGGCTGCTCCCAGCCCTCAAATCTCCATCCCTGCCCCAAGATCCCATTTCCAGCCCTACCAACAGCCCCGATCCCCGCCATGGAGGATCCCGGCCGGCCGTGCCCCCCCGGCCCCCCGCAGCCCGCAGGCTCCCGCACGAGGATTATTCCGATTCTTTCTCTTATTGTCGTTATTAGGATGAAACGCGAGATTCAAATTGCTCCCTGTTTGTCTTCGCCACCAGCGTGTTTCAGAGCGATTATCTCATATCTTTCCCCCAGAAGTAAGCTATCCCTCAGCCCTGGGTCAGGCATTGATCTCCCTGCAATGTAACAAACGGCCGGGTTAATTTTCCCTCATTACCATCTCCATAGCTCAGCCTGCACACCCAGGACGGAACCCTCCGCTCCGTGTGCGGCTCCGAGCGGCCCCTCACGGCCCCACGGCCAACCCCACGCCCAGCCCCGGCTCCGGGACAGCCGGGCAGCCCGGCTCGGTGCAGCACAGCACGGTGCAGCAGCATCTCTGCCTTTCTGCGCGTCCCTCACCTCGCCTGACCTCCCCATTTCTTTGTCCCGTTTGGGGTTTTTCTGTGGGCTTTGCACGATGATGATTATTTTTTAAAAACGTTGCTTTGCTCGCTATAAATTACAAGGATTTTTTTTTTTTCCTCACCCCGTTTACTTCTTAATCTTTTTTTTTTTTTTTTTTTTTTTTTTTTTCCTTGAAGCCTTTTCATTCAGTGGCCGCCAAAGAAAAGGGGGTTGGTCAACACCAAAATGGCAAAGTTCAGCTCGGGGAAAAAAAAAAAAAAAAAAAAAAAAAAAAAAAAAAGGAAGAAAAAAAAAAAAGAGAACCCTCCAGCTACCTACAAAGGGGCTCAGGGCTTTGTAATGGCAGAAAGAAACAAAAATGAAAAGAAAATTGCGGTTGAGGCTAAAGTGTGAGAGTGTGTTTGTGTGTATGTATATCTGTGTGTATTTTTAAAGGTTTCTTTGAACTGCCTTTGTGCTGAGTAGGCAGAGCTCCTTGCCAATGCTAGTCACGGTTTAAGGAACTTTGAGTTAACCTCTTATATCGAATGAATCTTTTCATTTGGAAACCAATAAATCTCAATCTCTAGCCACCTTTTGTAGAGCAGGCTGGGGCTTACCAAGGCGAGGCTGAAGCTTATAATAAAGAAGAGATAAAGTTTGCCAAAGTTTTTTTCTTTTTTCTTTTTTTTTTTTCCCCCCCTTCTTCTTCTCTTGTAAATAAAAGTTTTGGAGATGGCAGCAGTTGGAAGCAATCCGGAGAAGGACTCGGATCTGTGCATTGTTTCACAGTAAGCCTATTTACTTACATAGAGTCTTCAGGGACTCGAACACGAAAATGATTTATAGTTTTCCAACAAGTCATTATTTTGGTCAGTTGTGGAGGGTGGGGTCGTGGAAGGGGGGGGAGTGGGGGGCCCGTTCAGTCTAATAATCAATGTGCGGCTATGGAAAGAGAAAAGGGAGGGATGGGGGGGCGGGGGGGCAGCGTTCCGCAGATAAGTAGGGTTAACACTATAAACATTAGAGACAATTGAGTTTTCCCATCTGAGCGGGTGTTTGGGGTCTTCACATTTATCAGCCATTGCTGAGAGCGCGCGGGGACCAAGGAGAGAGGGGGAGAAGCCATCTCTGGGAGCAGCTCGGAGCCCCTCCTCTGCTTTCCAGTTCGCACTTTTTGCATATCGGGTATAATTTCTTTGAAGTACTTTGAAATCCAGCGCCGCGTCTCATCTCTGGATGGGAGATGCGACCGCAAGAATCGATGTTTTGATTTATTTTTCAGTACTTATTTCCCGTCTGCTCTCCCTCGCCCTCCCTCTGAATATGCCATGCTTACAGGGCTGTATACATTCCATCCATATTCTATGTATAATGCCCCCGCAGATGGCTTTTAAAAAATCATTTGCAATTTCTATTTCGCGGCGGCGCAGTTCACTTCCCAGCCCCTCTCCCTCTCTCCTGCTTCATCTCAAGGCGCTGTCTTCTTCCCTTCTCCAAATCGTTCCCATCCAGGAGTTATTAATTACTCTTACAAGGCGGGAGATTCTTAACTAATAACAAAGTTGTAAATTACCACCTTCCCTCCAATATTTCTCATTTGTCAACCCTGATTGATTTGATTAATATTCCTTCGGCTCAGATCGTTCCGAGCTTCTTCGACGCGACCATCAGCTCAGCGTTACGCGCGGGGCCGCCCGGCGGAGCGCAGCTCTCAGAGGGCTCCGTCCGGCCCTGTGCTGCGATGGGTTCGTAGTTTGTGCCCGTTGGGGTCAACAGCGTCGAGTGGGAAAAGGGTGTCGGGAAATAAACTGAACAAAGCACGGCTGCTAAGAAAAAAAAAAAAAAAAAAAAAAAAAAAAGGAAATTAAAAAAAAAAAAAGAAAAAAAAAACCTCCACGAAGGGTAACCCCCATAATGAACGTAAGGCTGGAGGAGACCCCATGTGGGCTGATTGGAGGCTCCCAGCCCTCGCCGTGCACCCTGCCTGTCACACTGCCCGGAACGGAACCCCGGCACCTCGATTTATGCTTCGTTTGTGGCCTCAGCAGCACAGAAACGATAATAGCGCGTAAATTAACCCCTTGAAATGATAGACAATAAACTTGGCTTCAGTCCCCCTTCTCCGCACAGCGAGTGGGGCTGGATTTCTGGTTCAAACCCGTCATATTGGCTTAATTATGAGACTGTAAATAACGGCTCTTAAGGAGAAGGAAAAAAAAAAGAGGGGGGGGGAAATAAAGAGACCTAAGGGCGATGTTCCGCCCAGGGTCAGAGCCGCACCTCCGCACCCGCGCAGCCCGCACCTATGGGCCCTCTATATGGGACAGACGGGGATGTGGCGGCACTAACGGTGACCCCCGCCCGGACGGCAGCTGCTGTCCTTGCGAAGCCATCGATGGGCGCTCCCTCCTCCACCACTTGAGTTTTAATCTTAATTATATTAAGTGGAGTGCCGGGCTGCCGTGGAATTGAACGTGATGCATGACGGCCGCCTGTTAAGCGATCGATTGCGACTATTGCCTCTTTCCTCCCTATCGATATTCACAATCCGCCTTATCTGCGGCCGAGGGGGGCTGAGGGCAAAGGAGGGGGGGGGGGGGAGGGTCTCTTTTTTTCTTTTCTTTTTTTGGTGGAAATGTAAAAATGAGCGACTCGAGTGAAATAACATTCCGTCCGGTCACCTGCAATTCAATATGCGCACGAGAGACGCCGATGTATATGAGACGATTTTAATTATGATTAGAAGACACACTCGGAACGAAGAGAATAGATTCGGAGGGAGGGGAAGGGGGGAGGGCGGCCGGAGGAGCATTAATGAAATCTTTCCCCGCGATACCAAAAGAAACAAGTGGTTGGTACAACGGAGGTGATTTGTCACCGAACTCCAAAAGGGGGGGGGGGGGGTGAGGGGGGTGGGAGATGGGAGCCGAGCTGCGGTGCTTCCCCCGCTTTGAAGCGGCTCTGACGGGCAGCGCCAGACCACGCCTCGGCGGCCGCTCCCCCCCCCCCCCCCCCTCCGCAGCCTCCCTTCCCCCCCGGGGCGTCCCTTCTACGGCGGAGGGAGCGGAGCGGCCGCGGCCATACGGCACCGGAGAGCTGCTTAGGCCCCGAGGAGATTGTATTTGTGCACACGAAACCTTTTGTTTCGGCCCGAGGATCGCCTGCCTTTTCAAACGCAGCCGAGAAACAGTTCAGGGTCACTGACAATTTCCAGCCCCGGTGCATGGGGGGGTTGGGGTGGCGGGGAGGAGGTGACCCCAGCCAGCCGCCTCCCGGACAGTTGTCGCCTCCGGTCGCCTTTGGAAGCGAGACGGTGGGACGGGGCGAGACCCCTCTCGGCCAGGGCCGGCCCCGGGCTCTCAGCTCTCTGCTCTCGGTCTGTCCTCCCCCCGACCCCGTTGCCCCGGCCGGAGCCGCCCGCAGCCCCCCCCGCTCCGCCATAGCCGGCTATTTTTCTCAGGCTGTGACTTCCAAGTGGCAGAATCTGTAGGAGTGTGAATCTGTTCTCGTTATGTTTGTCCCTTTCGGTATTTCCACAGACTTTTTTTTTTTTTTTTTTCTTTCTCCCTCTTTCTTTCTTTTATTTTTTCTTTTTCTTTTTTTTTTTCCCTCTCTCTCTCTCTCTCTTTTTTTTTTTTTCAGTATAAATTAACTCCGACTGCAACCACCAGATTGTTCCGAGGAGACTACCTCCCTAATGACTTCATCTCCAAAAGTTGACTGACACTCTAGCGAACTGCCAACACCTGTTTCCCAGCACCCAGACTCCAGAACCCACCAGACCTCGTAAATTTAGCTTCTCCCTCCTCCCTCCCTCCCCCCCACTTAATAGATGACGTGAATATCTAAAGGGAAGGGGGAAGGGAGGGGGAGATGGAACTAGGTCACATTTGAAACTTTTTATTTTTCATCTCCTCTGAGCGAGATCTGGAGATAAAAGAAAAAAGACGGAGCGGGAGGGAGGAGAGCAGAGCTGGGGGCAGCCCACACGGGATGGATTTGGGTGCAAAGCTCAGCCCTGGCTCCATCTCTTTTCTCTGTGGGGATGCTCCAGGCCATTTGGCCCCACCTGACCGTGATGCCTCCCAGTGCCTTTGCTCGTACAAATCTTCCTATGTCCTCTCCGGGCCGGGACAAGGGGACAGGGGTTGGGAAAACCAGTGAGGAGCCAGAGGGAACTGCCCCGGGATGGGAAAAGGACGGATATGGCTGAGGGCATCGCGCCGTGGCAGTGCTGCACCCGGCCCAGCTGAGAGTACGGGGACAGGGCGGTGCCGATGGCCCGGTCCCTCTGCTTTGACAAGAGCGGCTCCACGCATGGGTTTCGGAAGAAAACAATGATAATAATTGATTGTTGTTGTTGTTGTGGGCTGGTGGGGGAGGGGGCGGATTTTTCCCAGCTGCGTTTTCGCTTGATAGAACGAGATGGGCCGGGAGACCCGAAACTCCCCCATCCTGCCCTGCTCTGCGCAGGTGCCCTTTGGGTTATAACCCTCCTCCCAGACCTTCCCAGCATCCCACCCTGCCCGGATCCGAGAGGGCCCAGAGCCCAGCGCAGGAGGAGGGCGAGGAAAACCCCGGGGCACCTCTGCATCCCAGGAACATTAGGGAGAGGGCATCGCCACGCTTCCAGCCCGGAGCAGCTGCCCTCAAGGTGTGCGTGGCTTTAGGACGGGAGAAGCGTTTTATTCTGATGACAGTAAGGCAACTTCGTAGCGGTTCCCATCCCGAAGGGGAAGATCCGCTTCCCACGGGATCCCACACCCAAAGTTTGGCTTTCTCTAAGAAAGATCCTCCAGAAATGAATAGGCTCCGAACATAATGAATAGCTGGAAGACGCAAAACGTTTGCGGGGTTTAAAAGGCTCGTGGCAGAGCCGCGTGTCTGTGCGAGGTGTCGAGATGTTGCGAGTGCCGGATATTCACGGGAAGGGTTTACGTAGTTTAAAAAAGAAGAAAAAAAGAAAAAAAAAAAAAAAAAAGAAAACAACAAGGAAACCAGGTTTTCTTTTTCTCACTTCTCACTCTCCCTCTCTCTAATCCAGGAATCATTAGCAACCCCCTCTGGCTACATGTTTTGCATCAGTGAAACATTATGACATAGTTGTAATACAAACTCCGCTGACTTGCTCTGCATCTTGCGGTAGGAAGTGCAATAGCAATAAAAAGCAGTTTGAAAGAAAAGGACTCCGGGCATTAAGTTGTCTCCGAGAAACGCCCTTTTCTGAGCCTCAAAGCGAATGGACAGACGGACGAAGGGGCAACTTTACGGCTCTCGGGACCCTCTGCCCGCACCGGGCAATGGGGATCTCCTCGGGGTTGTTCCCCTCCGCCTTTTCCCGTCTGTCTATAATTCTGATCGGGGTTTTGCCGCTTCCCCCAGTCGCCCCATAACACCCCCGGCACCGGGCTGGTATTTCCCCGTAAAGTGAATTGGCCGAAGCAGCCTTTGCCCAATTATCTCCCTTCCACCTGTCGCAGCTGTTGGCTTAGATTGTTCCCGGTAGAAATTCTCGCTGGAATTAAAAAATAGAGCTATATTTCTCCCCCCCCCCCTCCCTCTCTTTCTGCTTTCTTTAAAAGAATCCAATCGCGTTCACCCCAGGCGGGGGCCCGGCCGCTGCGTGCGTTTGTACTTTCCCCGTTACTCATTAACTAATATTCCCTACTTTCTGGTAAAGTCAAATGGCTCTTAATAGCTCTTTATATTCTCGGAATAACATGTGGATGCTCTTAATCAATACTTAATAGCACTCCCTGTGCTAAACAACTGCCGTGCGCTCTGCTGG